GGTGGGTCACGTGCTACAAAGTTCAGTCGGGGACAATCTTTTGTCAATCAACTCTATATGCTCCAAAACAGCTAATTCTTTAAGGGTGCAATCTTACCCATGGATACTAGTTGTTGGGAATCCTTCTTGAGACAGGAACACTGCCAGAAAATCAGCTCCTCTCTTTGACTCAACAAACACTAAAGTTCTTTGTGTTCCTACACAACAAAACAGCAAATAATTGGGACAATTGAATAGAGCCACTGCCCCCTACTATTATGTCATCAATATCAGTCAACGTCCAATGCAAAGCTCTGTACATGTAGTTTGTACAGTCATACAAGTGTTCMAATTMCAGAAAATGCCCTGAATTATAAACAATTRCTACAAACCTGCATCTCCAAGGATTTCTGTCAGTTTATCTCTCTTCTCAAACTCTGACACTTCAATAATGTTCTGTTCGATATCAGAAGTGGCACTGCCAACTCTTCCTACTGTCAAGAATAGATAGTCATTCAAGAAATCCCGTGCAAGTCKCTGTATTTCTTCGGGGAAGGTTGCACTGAACATAAGAGTATTGCGGTTCATTTTGTCTGGTAGTCCCAAGGTTTCAACAATTTTTCTTATGGCTGGTTCAAAACCCATATCAAGCATCCTGTCAGCTTCATCTAAGATGAGATATTTTACTTCCTTTAGGGAAACCTGCAAACAAATTAATTCATTGAATCAATAACTTTAAGTGAGAAAAAAATGTCAAACATTTTACCAGCAAATGTCAAATACATAATGACATCACAGTATGTTTACATTAATAATAATAATAACAATAGGCAATGCTTATATAGCGCACTATACATAGTCTCAGTGCGCTTTACAGGAACAAAGTTATATAATAAATACATAAAAAACATTGTGGATAGATGMTCAGATAGACTTGAAATTGGGACCTTTAATGTATCAAGTTTTGTTGTACATCATTTGTCAATGATATCTCATCTACATGTGTAATTATGCGATAGGGCAATAGTTACAATGAAGTCATGACTAGCACTATATACTATTGTCAATAACCAACAACTAAAATGACAGTCCCAGATAATATTTTTCTTTTCTAAATTTAGTCATTGTCTTTTCATAACCCTTTACAAAATCCATGACTTTCCAGGTCTGGAAAACTAAAGCATAAATACATCTAGTAACTCAATGGAACACTACTGGGAGTGTGGAGACTGAAATACTTCTGAAAACACTTACCTTGCCCCTTTCCACAAAATCCATCAGCCTTCCTGGTGTAGCAACAAGAAGGTTGCATCCCTGTTGCAATTGCCGCAGCTGATGATTGACAGATACACCTCCATAGCACACAATTGGCCGTAACATTGTTCCATATGCAAACTTGCGAGCTTCTCCATAAATCTGATTGGCCAATTCTCTGGTTGGGGCAATACACAATGCTTGTGGGGATTGTATTTCCATAAATGCACTACTCTTAAGACCATCATTCATCATACCAGTCATGACAGGAAGCAGGAATGCAGCCTATGAAATAATACCAATCAGTTTGTTATCATTTCAATATGCTTTTCTCAGTCTGGCAACGCTCTAGGCACAAGTTTTAGAATGTTTCACAATATTTGGGGACAGCACCATTATTGTTGTATGTGGAAGTTTCTTCACTGAACATTGAAAGTGTCTAGACCCCAAGAAATAAAATCTGTCTAAAACAAAAATTTGATATTTTGCAGGAATTATCTCATGGAATAAGTTTTCTGTGTTTTCCTTATACACAAACCACACAATGAACCACAAATTATCAGGAGAATATAAACTATAGGCTGCACAACTTTTGATTAATAGTAATAATCTYTATTACGTTCTTTTAGACCATTAYAATAGGTATATAGTTGCTAAATTACAGGATCTGTCACAACACAAGAGCAATTGATTGAACTTCTTTAATAACCAAGTGTTTTAAAMTTGCAGCTAGAGCAGAGTCACATGAACCATGAAATGAAAACTAAAAGTACTAACYAATAGGTACTATTAGTTCCTAATAGTCGTTAGCACTGAACCAGAACAGTTTATTTGATCCAATAAGCAATACCCAAGAGAACACTATAACAATCAAAGTAATCTCTTTGTACTGTTCTGGTTCAGTGATAGTGTCTAAATAGTGCCTATTAGTTACTAAGTATTTAGTTTCTATTTCATGTTTCAARTGACTCTGCTCTAGAATGATTCATAAGAACTTTTAACTTTTTGGTATTAACTTTTAGCAGACATTAAATACTATGTGTGAATCAGATATTATGGACAAAATTATGATATTCTTCAGTATACAAAAACTATGTTTGTACACGCAAGCTTAACAGAAAATAAATCAGTGTTGAAACTTACAGTCTTTCCTGACCCAGTCTGGGCACAGGCCATGACATCTCTTCCAGCGATGATGCTTGGAATAGCATATTTCTGGACAGGAGTGGGTTTGTGGTAGTGTGCTTTCTTGACGTTTTCACTGAAGGTGCTATATAGGTTTGCTTCATCAAAGTTTTTAATGGGCTTAACAGGGTTATCTCCAGTTACTTCCACAGGGATACTGTCATATTTGTCAAAGTTGATTCCCTCTTGAATTGACTTGAAGATTTGTTCTTCACTCTCTGGTGGAGCTGGTGGGACGTAKGTTACTGGAGCTGGTCTGTCACCTATTTTAAAAGTTAAAATTTAATAACAAATGCAATKTTGTCAAAGTTGTAAACTTTTTATGCATTGTTTGTGCTTTAATAAAAAAAAACACAACTTCCAGTGCTTGGGAGTAAAAAAACTTCATGCTTACTGTGCAATACATGGCTGTAGGTCTRGCTTTCTTAGCAAGATGTTTCAGCCTCACAAATTAGCTTGAAGTAACTATCTGGAGCAGGTTTTACAAAAGGTGCATAGCGCTATCCACCTAATAAACCCTTATCCAGCAGATAAAATCCATACAAAATCTAAGAAGTGGATAACTTTATYCATCCTCCATACAACTAGACCACAATCACAAACATTAGTTCAAATGGTCTATTTATAATAAATGACTTTGTAAAGAATAAATTAATTTTTTGGTCACAGTCTATACGATTGTATAAAAATTATTGACATTGAGGTGTAAGTATAGACCGTTAGGCATGAACTGTAAACTTAACAATAACATTATTATTATTCTAATGTGTGCATTAAATATTGAAGTAAACAGACCAAACATCAGCTATTAGAAATTTATCTGATATAACTTTCAATATTTATTTTCAGGCAAGAACATGACTTCTTCTAGTTGTCAATATCATAACTGGAGGCATTGCCTTCTTTCTATTTAGAGATATCTATTTTATATTTCTTTAAAAAAAAAACAACAAAAACAAAAAACATATTCACTTCATCAAATGTGGTTGTTAAGATAATATTTTCCCACTAAGCATGAATTTTTAATTGATATGTCATTCATCTAGTTTCCAAGCATTGCAAGTCATACAAATTACCACACTTTTAATAACAGGAACAATTTTATGTCCAKTTGAAGTTTGAATAAAAAGAAATTTTCAGATAATCTTTCTAGTGGATGTTAAGTTCTGGATAATGTCATATGTAAAATTATTTTTCTAGATAAACCTTTCTGCTATGTATTGACTTGATAAAGACATATTGAAATTTTGGTCCAAGTTTTAAGTATTTGTCCTTTAAAAAATGGACTTTTAATCTTAAAGCCCAGTATTCAAGAAATAAACAGCAAAATTCATTTAAAAAAACTTAAGCCAGTCAAAACTGCATCCTGTGTTTAACTAGAACAAATAATCACAAAATAATTTTCAATTTTTTGGAACTTTAGAGCAAGACTCTTGTAATTCAAAAAGTTACCTTCTCAAAAAGTTGCTCAAGTTTTGACAATAAATTTAGAATACCAAATTACAAAACAATCACTCACCATCAACAACTGGTTCATTGGTACAGTCTTTGGCAAAGTGACCAGTTTCCTTGCATCTATGACATGTCTGATCACCGCTACCACCTCCTCCACCACCACCAAAACCACCACCAAATCCACCACCTTCACCAGAATCGGCATTTGGACATTCTCTAGCAAAGTGCCCTGTCTGTTGGCATTTATAACATGCGCCGCCACCTCCTCCTTTCTTGGGCTCTGTACAATCACGTGCAAAGTGACCTGATTGGCCGCAGTTCCTGCATGAATCATCTCTGTCTTTCTTCTGTGGGCACTCACGGGCAAAGTGACCAGATTCCCCACAGATTCTGCACCCATCACCTCCCTTGTTGAATCCACCTCCTCTACCACCACCATCATCTGCATCATCACCCCCTGAAAAGCCTCCACCGCCAAAACCTCCTCCACCACCACTACCAAATCCACCTGAACTACTCTCACCAAAGCCACCACTACTACTACCAAATCCACCTCCTCCGCTACCAAAACTGCCACCTCCTCCGCCGCTACCAAATCCACCACCACCCCCTCCGCTACCAAATCCACCACCACCCCCTCCGCTGCCAAATCCACCACCACCCCCTCCGCTACCAAATCCACTACTTTTTCCAAACCCACCGACAGAGCCGTTACTCATAGACGAATCATTGCCACCGAAGCCTCCACCGCCACGACCAAACGGTTTYCTTCGACCTGAATCGCTGTCTTGTGACGTACTGCCGCCGAATCCACCGCCACCAAAACCTCCATTTGAGGTGCCGAAACCGTTCGTCATCTAAAATTGTGAGAAGTTATCTTAGATCAAATTCTAGATGTTTTAGTTAGTTATTTGATCCATTATGAAGCTTAACTTACAGGAGCTCCACCACTTTCTTCTTCCCAATCGTCAGCCATGATTTACGGTCAAAAATTATGCTTAGTTGACACAAGTTGTCGCCACGCTGCGAATCAATGACAAGCAAATAGGACCTTAAAACAGCTTTAAAACTCTTAATCAAACACTCTTGTCCACAAAAATATCTCAAGGAAACTAATAAAGACCTTTTAGAGTCCAAATGAACTCAATAAACCTCAAAACCAACAAAAAATTGAACTCAACATTGAAGTGTGAACTCACCAACTTGTATGAAGACTACGATCCAAATTCCTTGATTCTGACCAAGGAAAACGACTTTAATCTGTTAAACAACATGGCAGGCAATTCAATGAGGCATTTTTACGAGAATAAACGGGGTTTAAATAATAAAAAGGAGCAAAACCACTCACCTTAGTCCTGATTTCCTCGGAGCTGCAATTATAACTAACCCTCGTGCGAAGAGTTTTGCCACAAGATCGCAAATACCGCGCTGTGATTGGGCAATATATGTCTTCCCATGATTCCTTACCAGTATTTCGCGCCAAATATTAAATGCATAGGGGTATATCGGATATCAGTGCGGCATGCCGTAAATAATGGCCTTTTTTTGTCTATCAAAGTGATGAAAGATCGAYAGCAGAGCACATAGTTTAAGTGACAGTTTCCAAATTTTTGTAAATTTGCGGACAAGTAGGTATTAACAGAACAAAGGRGATTCACAATGGATGAAGTCATGCATAGAGTATATTAAAGATGTTGACATAAATTTAATTGCGTGGATTTATAGACTGCGCTTCGGATGATTTTGTTATAAAGACTGATCAAGACA